TTGAAACAATTAGACCCATTTGGATCTCCTAACTCACCTCTTGTGAAGAGCAAGAAATTTAGTGACTCTATACATAAAACATTTGATGGTTTGTGGAAAAATAATGATGCTGGCTGGTTATTTCTAGCATCTCTGGATAAATTGATGAAGATACACAATGAGCTTCATGATAAAATTGTCAAGCTCCATATTCGAATCAACAGTTTAAATGTTTCCAAGTATGCCCTGGAAGAGAATCTTCTCTCCAGCAGCCAGAGCTAAAGCTGCAGAAAATCAAGCTGGAGCCCTTATTATACGTTTGGCTGACCTGCAACGCAAATTTAATTCCCAGCCTCAAAGGGTGTCAGCAGTAAAGGTGAAGGCATTGGTAGGAAAAGATTGGAATCCTGACACGTGGAATGGAGATGTGTGGGAGAAGCCTGAGGAGGCTGAGGATTTAGAATCCTCAGACTCTGAGGAATTTGATTCACCTGATGAATTATCTCCCCACCCTCAGCAGACCCACCCTCACCCTTGCCTGAGGCAACTAATCCCATCAAGGAAGCTAATCCCATTCAGCAAGACAATGCTGATGTCCCTCAGGGCCCAGTTATTGTTGCCTCTAGACCTATAACCAGACTCAAAGCTAAACAGGCCCCTAGAAGAGAGATAGAAAGTGTGGTCCATGAGGAGGTGTGCTACACCACTAAAGAACTTAGTGAATTTGCTAATTCTTTCAAACAGAAATCTAATGAATAAGTCTGGGAATGGATTTTAAGGGTATGGGATAATGGTGGAAGGAACATAAAATTAGATCAGGCTGAGTTTATTGACATGGGCCCCCTGACTGGAGATTCTCAGTTCAATATGGAAGCTTGTGCTGTTAAAAAGGGTGTTAAAAGTTTATTTGATTGGTTGGCTGAGGTATTTATCAAAAGATGGCCTACTGACAGAGAGCTGGAGATACCTGATATCCCTTGGCTTAGTGTTGATGAAGGGATTGTAAGACTCAGGCAAATTGGTATGCTCAAGTGTTTTCGCAGTACAACAGCAAATCCTCCACAATGGGAGGGCCCAGAGGACATGCCTTTTACTGATTTTATAAGATGGAAAGTACCGAGACACCAGAACGTTTGAAGAGCTTTGTTTTTGCTCTTTTCCTTATGCCGAATCTTACAGTTGGAGATGCTGCTGCTCAATTGCATAAATTAAATGTAAATATAATAGGTGTAAAAGGACATCAGAGTAGGGGTCAGGTGACAGCGATGAATTACCAAAGACAAGGTGAGCGTACTTATAG